TTAAATACTGAGTTGGAATAGACCAGAAAATGTATGCCAAAGAGATTACTATGTAATATTTTGAAAATAGAAAAGTTTCTATTGGGGAAGAAGAGATAGTACAGTGGGCAGGCCATTTGCCTTGCTTGTGGCTGACCGGGGTTCAGTACACAGTACCTCATCTACTCCCTAGCCTGCTGGGAGTATTCCCTGAGTGGAGAGTCAGGAGTAAGCCCTGAGCACCACTGCTGTGGTCCCAAACAAAATAATGGCTTTCAGAGTTCCTTTCTAAATTGTATATTTATCTGTTTTTAGAAGTTGGTACCTGAAAAAGCCACAATCTAATCAGCTTGAACTGATTCTAACTGACTGGTTTAGCATGTTTCAAGAGCACACATAAACTTGAGCCCGTCTTTCTATGACTCAAAATTCAGGATTAGAGGTTATATGAAGGTTAATTTTCTAATACTATATGTGACAAATTCTGTTTCATGCTTCATTTCAAAAGCACTTTCAGATCAATAAAATTACTCAGGACAAATGATTTCCTTGTATCAGCATTTTCCCCAAGTGTTTGGAAATATAGAACTCTATGTTGGGATGATTCTTGGCTAAGTTATTTAAGAAAATGATTCTGTGGCTAATTATGTTTGGGAAATTCATTTTAATCCTGGTAATTTCTCAGACTTCTCTACTACCTTAAATATGTTTCATGAATTTTGAATTTTTCCCTCTTTTTTTTTTATCAGAAAGCATGTTTTTTTTTTAATTAATTTATTTATTTATTGAATCACTGTGGGAAAGGTTACAAAGCTTTCAGGTTTATGTCTCAGTCATGCAAATATCAAACACATTTCCCTTTACCAATACTTATTTTTTACCATGAAGAACCCCAATAAAACCCCACCCCCCACCCCTCCCCGTCCCTGTGAGGCAGATGAATTCTAGTTAACACTCTATCTGCTTTGATTAGATTCATTGTTTCAATAAAAGATTCACCACTATTATTTAGAGTTTACCCCCCCCCCCCAAATCAGACATGCTGAAAAAGCATTGTGAAGTGATTTGCTCAGAAAGCATGTTTTTAATCTATCATCTATTTTGTGGTACAAACTAATTTGGAATGTAACATACATTAGGATAGGTATGTATCATATGGGAACTATTCTGGGAGCATTTGTTGAGCTTTGAGAAGTTGTTGCAATATTAGTTCCTCATAAGTGGCAATGAAATTTCCCAGCCTTTATTTGGTGCCAGTCACTTTTCTGTAGCATAAATACTTGTTTTCAAGGCAATACAATAGAAAGAAACAATTTCATTTACATGAATATCAATTCTTTATTGAAGATTGTATTCTAAATTCAGAGGTAGTTGTGACCCCTACCCAATCAACTTTACAATTTAGACATTTGTGCATATTAAGCTCATACAGTAAAATAACTGAGAAAACTTGTAAAATCAGTAATGAAACATCTATAAAAGGCTGTGGAGTATTTATACGTAGAGTATTCATATAGCAGATAAATGGCTGGGAGCAATACCGTACAATCTCTATCTATTAACGATAAAATGTAAAGTCTACAATTCTTCCTCCAGACTTCAGTTTTAGGCTCTGAACCTTTTCTGATTGATCTTTAGTAGCTATGTTTCCTCCATCATGCTCTCTGCTTTAATTTAAAGTCATGAGGAAGATTTAAAGAATTGTCAAAACAGATATCAACTGTATGTATTATCACTGTAAAGATTAAAAACCAAGATGTCTTAGTCACCAGCTTTTGCTATGTTGTAATGAGATAATAATGCTATGCTCATTTTTCTGGATTACTTAGGACAAGATATTTCAAATCCAAGTGTCAGGTACTTTTTTTTTTTTTTGTGAAGGGGTGAGGGTATCTGATGCTTGGATTTGAAGTATCTTGTCCCAGTGATGCTCAGGGCTTACTAGTCCTGCCTTTGTTCTTAGGGATCACTCCTGATGGGGTTCTGGGGACTACATGGAGTGCCAGGGACCAAGCCTGGTCTGGCTGTGTGCTAGGCAAAAGTCCTGCCCACTGTGCTCTCTCTCCAGCCCTCAATGTCAAATTCTTCTATCTCTAAAGGTAGAGCTACTTCTCACGCTATTTTCTAGAAACATTACAAATGCACATTTGCTTCTGAAACAAAGCACAAGGTTGATTTTTTAGAAAGATTTTCAAAAATGTTGAAGAGGCTTTTAGCATTTTTCATGTAGTAGCTCAAGTCTAACATAAATGAAGCACCAGAATCAACACTGATGCATTGCACAGACTCAATGTTTCTTGGAAATACTCCCCAGCATTTAAGTTAATTCATATTTGAGCACCATTGCCAGGAGTGTGCACAACACCTGGTCTTTGAAGCAACACACACAATGGAAAGAAGTGGGGGTGGGGAAGAAAGTTTTAAAAATTCATTCATGTTAACATAATTTTAAGTAGATTTATGAAAAAAATTCAGGGAGAGTTTCCTGAATAGTAAAATGATTATTCTAGCTAATAAATGTTTCACTTTTCAAGGCAATTCTCTTTACATCTAAGGCGGAGATTTGGTCTTTATTATTTTCTGGAGGTTTTGGGATCACACCTGTTGTTGCTCAGGGTTCACTCATGGTGTGACCTGGGACCATACGTGCTGCTGAAGGAATCACATTGAGGTTGACTGCATGAAAGGTAAGTGTCATACCCACTGTGCTATCTCTCTAGCTCAAGATTTGATCTTTTAGTAAAATAAACTGCCTTATGTAAATATAAATGTGAAGAATATTTGGGAGGGGGCAACATCCGGCTTTGCTCTGGGCTTACTCCCGGTTCAGTATTCAGGGATGACTCCTGATAGCTTATGTGGGGCTATATAGGCTGTCTTGGTTAAATTGGGTTGGCTGCATGCAAGGCAAGCACCTGATCCCCTGTACAATCACTCTCGGCCTCTTAAAAATATACCATCTGAGTGTTCTCTCTGAAAATCTGACCTTTCTCTCTGCCCCAACACCTGAGTGGCATCAACATGTGATGTCTTCTGAAGTTATGGAATCAGGTATCTCCGTGTGGTGTGGATTAGAGCCTACAGCCCCTGCCTTATAATTATTTCATTTATTCATACTAATATTTGTAGCACTGGGGACTGAATGGAGGATGGCCAGTACTATCTCTGGTTTCAAAACCTCTAGTCTTGAAGAGTGGGGATCAGTAGAAAAGGTGGGGACTTGGGGAGCTGCTCTGACTATGACTACAATTCCATGTTTGTTTTTCTTCTTGGATATTTCCTCTGATTATCAGATATTATATGTACAAACTCTACAAACTTTACCTTCATGTGCAATGCTATTGCTACAGAATATGTACTCTAAACCTTCTCTGATTTAAACTCAAATTTTATTTAGAGATGGTTTTGTTTTGCCCAATCTCTAAATGATTTTAAATTGATTATGATAAAATTTTATGTAATTTTTTTCCTTTAAGGCTTATAAACCAATTCAGATTTTGGCTCATATACCTCCAAAAACTACTTTTAGGAAAGAAAAATGAGAATTCAGAATGCCTAATTGAAAAGTTGTTAACAGCTTAATGACAGATCAAGTTGTTTTAGATTCCTTAATATACCAAAAAATTTTTCTGCAATATGTGTTAACATAAGGCTGGAGCAATAGCACAGCGGGTAGGGTGTTTGCATTGCACGCGGCTGACCCAGGTGACCCAGGTTCGATTCCTCAGTCCCTCTCGAAGAGCCTGGCAAGCCACCGAAGAGTATCTCGCCCACACGACAAAGCCTGGCAAGCTCCCTGTGACGTATTAGATTTGCCAAACATAGTAACAAGTCTTACAATGGAGACGTTACTTGGCCTGCTCGAGCAAAATCTATGAACAACAGGAGGACAGTACTACAGTGTTAGGTATATATTAACATAAATGTTCAAGTATATAATTACTTTTTATTTAAATAAAAATAAAGATGCTGTTACCAGATTTTTGTAAGTGATTAAAATCCCCTAAATTTTAACATGCATGAATTTGTGTGAAGAATAAGTTTGACACAGGAATAGTTCCTAAACAACCAAATATCAAGTATTTCCCATTTAATCATATTTCTCAAACATTCATCATGTAAAAACCCCAGGATCTCAAAACGTCTAAATTTAATAAAACTTTCACTTTAAAATAAGCACCAATAAAACTCCCATTCCATGAGCACTTACAAATCTTAACATACTTGTGCTTTTTTCCCCCTGCTCGACGCGTCCTCCACCCTGCCCTCCTCCATTTAGTTTTTACATAGAATGTTTTATCATAGACTTATAGTGGTTGCTTCAAATTGAGTACTAGTTGTTATTTTTTTAAACATTATTAACAGATGTAACATAAGGCCTTTACTATCAATCATCAACCACCAATAGAAAAAATGCAAAGTCCAGAAAGAAAGTGTCATGTATAATATTTCTTTCTTTTATTTTCTTTTTCTTTTTCTCTTTCTTTTCTTTGGTGGAGGGGATAGGTCACACCCAGCTGTATTCAGGGCTTCTGGCTCTGAGCTCCGGGATCACTTCTGGTGGTGCTTGGGCAACCATATGGAGTGTCATATGATGGGCCACATGCAAGACAAGAACTTTGCCCCCTGTACTCTCAAGCCCCATGAGTGGAGTTTTAAAGGCACCAGAAAGAGAGTAATGGATCAAAATGGCATTACAGATACGGGGCACAGTCAGCATGTTTATGTGTGCTGGAGCAATAGGCACCGATGGCTGACTATGTTTTAAATAGACCTGACCCCTTGCCCAGTACTGTGGAGAGCATGGATTTAAATTTGTTAGTCTTGGCCATGGAAAGCGGGTAGTATCTATCAATCAATATATGTAATTAACATTGATACTTACTGACAGAATGTATGGAATGAAGAAGAAAGAGGAAATATCCAGGATGACCCAAATTTTATAGTTGGTGGCACAATGAACTGGGACAGTGAATACAGGAAGAAAAGCAGCACTTAGAGAAATAACCATTTTTGTCACAACAGGGTTTTGAGACACCTGTGAGTTCCACCGGGGGATATGCCCAGTGGTAGTTAGCTGCGATTGGGAGCTCAGGTAAGGGATAGTTACATATTTCAGGGGTTATCTGCAGGACAGGACTGTGAAATCTGTGTGCAGAAGGGTAAGGACACTTGACTCATCTGTTGTTTTGAGGCTCTTTGTAAACTCTTGGGATCCCATGAGGATCGTATTTTCTTGGGCCACTGAGTCATGGTCGTTGGTTCTCTCAAAGAACATAAGGAAAACGAGAGCACTCAAAGTCAGGTGATCAGTAAATGCTCAGTTGCATTACTTATGTTCATTTGGCTCTAGATTCAAAACCAGCTCCTTTTAATTTTCTTTCAGGAACCTCTTTTGCTTCTCAAGTTCAACCTCGTACAAAGTTATAAGATGACTTCAAGATATAGTAGCGGTGGGCAGTGAGGTACCTTCTGTACATCATCACGACCAAATCATTCTTCGTTTCACTGCACGTGGCTTGATGTAGGCCTTGGAAACCACCATTTCTTTTCTTAGGGCAGGACTGTGGACTGGAACCAGTTGAGGTCCCACAGAGGGAGTTAGAGTTGCAGTAACCTGGTGTGAGTAATCCCTGATTCCAGGTCGTGTTAGGAGTTGAGTTTCACATGTTGTTTTACTTGAGAAATATGTGACAGAGATTCAGTACTAATAAGAACAGACTAGACTTTGTTGCAGCTGAGTGGCTTGGCAAATTGCTGTAGAGCGGGATCACAGGACACGAAGGATTTGATACTGGGATAGAATACAACTGTCCTCGGAGTGGAAGTGAAATATCCTTTTTAAGAGCACTGAATTTATGAGAGTTTTGGGGAATAGTCACCTTTGTGAAGTGTGGATTGTATCCAGGGACTGTAACCTAAGAGGAAATAAGAAACAATGACCTTACTGAGTTCAGATGTTTCTAATCCCAACACTGAAAACACTATCTCACCACTAAAACACAGCCCTTGTGAAACACCAAATGTCTTCCTGCTTCCCCAGCACTGCTTGATGAATGAGTTACTTGACACCTTTTCATAGGGACCACAATTGTTAATGCTCTAGCCAAGAATGACTAAATGAAGCAGACTTCATTATCTTTCTGACTCCCTTATCTAGAGTCAGAAAGTAGCAGCAGACTGATGCCACTATATATATATATATATATATATATATATGTATATATATATATATATATATATATATATTCTTTTGGGTCACACCTGGCGATGCACAGGGGTTACTCCTGGCTCTGCACTCAGGAATTACTCCTGGCAGACCATATGGGATGCTGGAAATTGAACCTGGGTTGGCCACGTGCAAGGCAAATGCCCTACCCACTGTGCTATCGCTCCAGCTCCCAATATTAATATTTTCATAAAGAATCAAAAGTAAAGAGTGCGTTCTTTGTTCCAAATCTGTAATTAATATACTGGTTAGATATCAAGATTTCTATAAATGGAATTATTTTATGAATTTATTCCATTTTCCTTGCAGCTAATCGAGTTGTAGACATTTATTGATGCCTTAAAATGTTTGATTTTCAGGTCGGAGTGATAGTACAGCAGATATGGCATTTGCCTTGCACAGAATCAACCCAGGTTCGATCCCTGGCATCCCTGAGCATTGCCACGAGTAATTTCTGAGTATTTTATGAGCCAGTAGTAATGGGGTAGTGGCCTATAATGCTGGGGAACAGAAGGGCCGGCCTGGTGCTGCTCCGGTGCCTTCCGTGCTATACTGGTGATGCATGGGAGTCACATGGTGCCAGGGAGGGAACCCAAGGGTGAGGCATATGCTAGGTGTGTACCTTAACCCTTGTGATGTTTTCTGGTCCCTGAATTTTATTTAAAAAGTTTTCTAACTGGGGCAAGAATAATTCCTGAGTGCAGAGCCAGGAGTAACCCCTGAGCATTGCCGGGTGTGATCCAAAAAGCCAAAAAAGTAAAAAAACAAAACAAAACAAAACAAAAAAACCCAAAATCTAAATGCTGGACTGGAAACATAGTACAGTGGGTAAGGTGCCTGCCTTCCACTCAGCTGAACCCGTCAATTCCTGGCACCCCATCACTGCCAGGGGTGATTCCTGAGCACTAGAGCCAGGAGTAAGCCCCAGTACTGCTAGGTGTGACAACAAAACGAAACAAAACAAAACATTAAAAACAAAAACAAAAACAACCCCCCCCCCCCCCCACACACACACTCTAATTGCTAAAGAAAACCTGGAACTTTTCTGTTATTTTTGAATTTTTTTGAGTATTTTAGATTTCTGTCAATGAATAAATATTGTGAGTCATATACTATTTTTCTCTCAGAGAGCCTGGCAAGCTACCAAGAGTATCTCGCCCGCACGGCAAAGCCTGGCAAGCTACCCGTGACCTATTCGATATGCCAAAAATAGTAACAACAAGTCTCACAATGGAGACGTTACTCGGCCCGCTTGAGCAAATCGATGAACAATGGGAGGTCAGTGCTACAGTGCTACCATACTATTTTATTACCAAAATAAAAACAGTGTACTTACATTTATTGTATAGGAGCCAGGCAATAAAAGAAGGTAATACTCTCCAAATTCATTGGTTCTATAGGGACAGATGTGTTTTTTATCTTGTACTTCTACAATTACGTTGGGTAATGGCTTTTTATCCTGATCAAAAACTTGACCCTTTACACCTGCAAGACAAATTAATGCAAGAGAATTAAAAGTCAACACCACATTTTATAGCATCTGACACACAAAAACTAATTATTTCAGAAAACAGGGTGGATACTTACAACTGCTTTGACTTATTGTTCAAGAGGGAAGAGAAGCTTTTATAAAAAGTAATGTAAATGACACAAACAAACCACCAACCTCTTTTTTTTTTTTGCTTTTTAGGTCACACCTGGCAATGCACAGGGGTTACTCCTGGCTCTGCGCTCAGATATTACCCCTGGCGGTACTCAGGGGACCATATGGGATGCTGGGAATCGAACCCGGGTTCGCCACGTGCAAGGCAAATGCCCTACCGGCTGTGCTATTGCTCCAGCCCCCGCCACCAACCTCTCTTGATATACCCATAAGCCTGATTGGAGCAGGGGGTATATGGACAACTATACAACACTTGGTGATGCTCAGGGCACTATAAGCAATGCTAGGGAGTGAACCGCGGTCAGACAGGTACGAGGTAAGTAATCTTACCCACTGTAATCTCTCTCTGGCTTGTCACCTCAATTTTTAAAAAAGGTATTTGGTCACACTATCCACAAAAATATCCTTTGGCTTCTGTTTGGGCACCAATATAAAGATAACCTTGCCGCCAAATAACAATAACCAGATGGTATCACTATATTTTTTTAAAAAACGGGGCCTTCCCCAGCACCTACTGGGGACCCCGGGGCCACGCTCAGCATTATTTGGGGCTCCATGCGGTGCTGGGGATGAAACTCAGGACCTTACGAATGCTGGATGTGTGCTCCACCACTTGGAACTATCTCCCTGGTTCTGCATCTGTATTTTTTTTATATTTTAGTGAAGAAAAATAGGTGTTTTTGCTTTTGTTTTTGTTTGTTTTCCCTTTTTGGGCACACCCAGCAATTCTCAGGGCTTACTCTTGCTCTGCACTCAGAGATCACTCCTGCTGGGTGCAGGGGACAATACGAATAGCCTAGGATCCAACCTGGGTCGGCCAAGTGGCAGGCAAGTGGCCACACAAAATCTTTTTATTGAAAGCAATTTAGAGATGTGAGGTGAGAGAAAGAGAGAGAGAGAGAGAGACGTTCAGGAGAGAACACCGGCTTCTCCAGGGGGGAAAAAGCCTGAAGCAGTATTTTGAAAGGAGCACTTCATTCTTCAGAGGGCAGAAGAGCCTCTGTCTCAAACCACAAGGGGGCAGAGTTGGTGTATAAATAGAGCACATTACCACTTAATATGTACATTTGTGAGCCCTCCAAACAAATAATAACAGCCATGTTGAAATTTGTATGCTTTGAACAGTTTACAAAGCTCCTTCACTGGCAATATTAGGTCAGCGTGGCCCTCAGAACCCATGTGAATTCAGTCCTTAAAGACAGCCTTTGCCATTACCTGGAACATATTTCACTTCCAGCTGCATTCCCGTGTGGATGCTAATGAAGGAAGAATTTTAGGAAAGAATAGGCAGAGTAGCACACTGGAGGATGGAGATAGGTAGAAACACAGTAGAAAGGTTAAATTAAAATGCGCCTCCTGATGAAAGTCTAGTGCAGACACACCAGAATGCTAAGCAAGAGAGGACCCAACGTGAAGTTTGGGAATGGGGCTCAGAGAGCTAGCATAGTAAGTAGGGCACTTGCTCTGCACACCGCCCACCAGGATTCTATCCCTAGCACCACACAGGGTCCCCTGAGGACGACCATCTGCAAGGAGTGATCCCTGAGCACAGAGCCAGGAGTCAGCCCTGAGCACAGCTGGGTCGGGCTCCAAAACAAAAACAAAACAAAATTTGGAAACATTAATGAGGAAGGAGATTAATAAGCTTATTACGATGGTTGAGATGAAAAAGATGACATTTTATAACATCCATTGTCAAGGATAATGGAATCACCAATCTTAGTGTACTTATATGGCACGGGGAAGGGGGGCTGGAAATATAGTTATGAAAGAAGAAAGGGACATCATTTTAGGGGTGTGGAGTCAAGGAATGCTTGTTTTCTTTGTATTCAGTCTTCGTGACGTTTCTCTCCTCTTTTTTTTTGTTTCCTCTTTTTATAAAGCAGAAGAAAAACCTTAGTGTGAACATTGAGAAAGTTCCAAGAATTACACAATTATGGAGCAAGCTCATGATGAAGTCCTTTAAATACACACCTTCACTTTGGCTTGAAAGTGTAAGTAACCTTATTTACATTCCTCTTGTAATTCATAACAAGTCTCCTCCTTCAAGCTATTATGAGTTTTGTTTGTTTATAGTTTTGGGTCACACCTTGTGGTGCTCAGGGGTTATTTCTGGCTCTCTGTTATGCAGCGAACCATGGTGGTACTTGGAGAACCATATGTGGTGCCAGGGATTTGAACCTGGGTTACCATGTACAAGAAAGTGCCCTAACTCCCATACCTCTCCAGCCCTAGCAATCTGTTAAAAAATATCTTATTTTTTCTTTTTGGGTCACATCTGGCCATGCAAAGGGGTTACTGCTGGCTCTGCACTCAGGAGTTACTCCTGGCGGTGCTCAGGGGACCATATGGGATGCTGGGAATCGAACCCGGGTCAGCCACGTGCAAGGCAAACGCCCTACCCGCTGTGTTATCTCTCCAGCCCCTAAAAAATAAATTTTTAAAAAAAAATTGATTTCCTTTCTTCTGGGTGTGTTTGGGGGTTGGGTGTGCATGCCTGCCCACGCAGGGGATGGAATCCAGAGTTTCACACATACAAAACATGCATTGTATCATTCAGCAAAACTTTTGGCCTGGCAATCTGCTTTAACAAACTGTCCCGTGAGTCTACTACACATATATGAGACTTAGCATTACTGTCACAATTGGTCTGTGCATCTGTGATAAAGACCAGAGAGCCATTAAAAAATAGGATGAGAATGTTCGCAGTTCCACACCGTTCAGCAGAATTGAAGGGTGGGAAGAGCGGAAGGCGATGGAACTACCCAACAACTCATTTCTTGGAAAAATGCCAAAATCACGTTCACTGTTTCTAGGTCTGTGGTATTTGGGGGCAAGATACAAGTTTGTTTCCCCCCCCCTTTTTTTCTAAATATGGAATCATGTAGCAAAGTAAAAACCTATCTTTTGATCTTTTCAGGTTATTCACCATGCACAGTTAGGAAAACTATGGATTTTATATCCCCCATGAAAATAACCTGTATCACAAATTCTCTCTCTCTCTCTCTCTCTCTCTCTCTTTTGCTTTTTGGGTCACGTCCGGCAATACATAGGGGTTACTCCTGGCTCATGCACTCAGGAATTTCTCCTGGTGGTGCTCAGGGGACCATATGGAATGCTGGGAATTGAACCCGGATCGGCCGTGTGCAAGGCAAACAAACACCCTACCCCCCTGTGCTATCGCTCCAGCCCAAAGTTTTCTCTTATATGAACCACCAAACACTTGCATGATGCAGATATTCAATGCAGAGAAAATATCAACCATCAATTCTGGTTCAGAATATGAGACGTACCTAGAAAACAAATAGCCTGCATTTTCACAGTCCCCACATTTTACCAGATGCTGTGTTTTTATGTTAATAAGAAATTATGAAAATCTTACAAACCTAAGTGCACCTGTTTGATGTATGTGATTAACGAGACTTTGTTATCATTCCAGAAGGATGGAAGCTTCTCCTCAGGAGGATATTTACAGCATGACAGCTCCAATGTAATTTCAAAACACTGGGCCCAGATGTAGTTGTAATCTTGCATTCCACCTAGACACAAGAATATTCATTATTTTAAATTTCACTCTGAAATTGGAGTTATGCCAAGAACTAAGTCCCCCTGGGGACAAGTGAATCAGACTGTTGCAAAGCAAGCACACATGCAAACAGGAAAAGATGAATTTGACATATTAGCATGTAAAATCAGAACTTGACATTTTATTACCCAGGCATGACCAGGCAGTCCTAAATAGTCCCATATGGGTTACTGGAGTGATGCTGACCAAAGCTCAGTGGCCCATCAAGATTAAGTGAGGGATAAGAGAGAGGTCCCCTCCACCCCTTTTCAAACCTACATTACAAAAAAAACCCACAACTTTCAGAATACATCCCCCCAACCCCATAATTGCATAAATCTTGGAACTTTCTAGTGTTCACACTAAAGTTTTTCTTTGCTTTATAAAAAAAAAAAGCACCTCTCCCTACCCCCCTTTTTAGTCACACCCAACGATGCTCGGGGGTTACTCCTGGCTCTGCACTCAGGAATTACTCCTGGCCGTGCTTGGGGGACCATATGGGATGCTGGGGATTGAACCTGAGACGACTGTGTGCAAGGCAAACGCCCTACCCGCTGTACTATCGCTCTGGCCCCACCAAATGTACTTTAAACATACATAAAATAGAGTGCTATCTCTTTAAATATATTGTATAACTGTTCCATTCATCAGTATATAAAGCTAAATTTACCAATCTGGGAGTAATAATGACGGGCAATGTTGACTCACTATTATTGGAAGAGTTCTGCATCAATTCATCTAAACATTTTTAATTATCATTTTTAATTTGGGGGCTATACCTGGTAGTGCTCAAGGCTTACTCCTGGCTCTGTGCTCAGGGTTCACTCCTGGTTGGCCTCGGGGGAGAGGTGCCAGGGATTGAACTCTGGTTGTCTACATGCAAGATAAATGCCCTACCTGCTGTGCTGTCTCTCCAGTCCCACATAAACTCCTCCCAGCAACTGCTTCCCCATGTTGGAGATGGGGACCAGAGATGGCACAGAGCATGCACAGGGATGCCAACCTGCGACTGGCAGAGACCAGAATGTGGGCCATTTTCCCGAGTCCAGTGATTTTTCTTACTCCTTTCACCAAGCTGCTTTGGGACTGATAGGCAGAGCTCTCCTGGCTGACGGGAGTGAGGAAGACCCAGGTCCAGTGCTCCTGGGGTTCACATAGCTCCTTCTCACTGTTTGTTTTTTTTTTTTTCAAATTTTGGGCCACACCAGTGGTGGGTGCTCAGGGGTCACTCCTGGCAGTGCTCAGGGGACCGTGTGTGGTGCTAGGATTAAACTGGCATGCAAGACAAACACCTTAATCCTTGTACTATCTCTCTGCTCCCCTCGACCCCCTTTTCTTTGCTTTTTTGGGTCATACCTGGCGATGCTCAGGGGTTACTCCTGGCTCATGCACTCAGGAATTACCCCTGGTGGTGCTCGGGGGACCATATGGGATGCTGGGAATTGAACCCAAGTCGGTTGCGTGCAAGGCAAACGCTCTACCTGCTGTGCTATCGCTCCAGACCCCCGTCTCATTTTTTGGAGGGGGTGGCCCTTCCGTGGTGCTCTAGGGCCTGCTTTGAAACTGCCTCAGCGATTCTAGGCCAGCCGGGCTGGTCGTTCAATGTGGAGCCCGGGGCTGAGATGCTGCTCAGGTTCCCAGGGTGTTGGGCTCCCCCAAGCAACCCCATGATGCTCAGGGGCCTCCAGAGCCAGACCCAGCTGCACCCTGGGAACCGTGTGGCATCAGGGGTCACATCAGGTTTGACCGCATTCAGGACATGTGTCTTAATTCCCTGTGCTGTATTTCCGGCTCCTCATTCTCACTTGAAACATCTCTAAAGACCCTATTTTTGAAGGAATTTTGAAGGGAGGAATACATTTTGTATTTTCTCACATGTAAAACTTTTCATATTTTAAAGTCTTTGAATCAGGATATTTTTAAAATGCTGGCTTTTTATAGGGGTGGGGGGTGCTACATCTGGTAGTGCTTGGGGGCTATTCTTGGCAGAGTTTGGGGGACCACACAGTGCCAAGGACTCAACTTGGGGGTCCCAGGAATAAAGTATGCATGCCAGCTCTTTGAGCCATTTTGGCCAGGATATCTTAAATTTGACAGCTGAACAATTCATCGTGTTGCTAGTTTGGCTAGAAACATTTTTTTTAACTGTTTCTTGGTGGTACATTATACACAATACATCTTGAACTTGATAAACGATAGTAACTTTGAAGGAAGCAGTTTCTATCAGGTTTTAATTTGCTGTACTTGGGATCTGTCCAAATAGTATGTATTATGTATTCTCAACTGTGACAGGGATTTGGGAATGATTGCTGAAGCATGAAAAAAAATTTCACACTAAAAAAAATGATTAAAATATTACATAAAAAATTAAGCATTGGGGCTGGAGCGATAGCGCAGCGGGTCAGGCATTTGCCCTGCACGTGGCCGACCCGGGTTCGATTCCCAGCATCCCATATGGTCTCCTGAATACCGCCAGGAGTAATTCCTGAGTGCATGAACCAGGAGTAACCTCTGTGCGCTGCCGGATGTGACCCAAAAAGAAAAATTAAGTATTACCGGGCTGGAGCAATAGCGCAGCGGGTAGGGCGTTTGCCTTGCACACTGCCGACCCTGGTTTGATTCCCAGCATCCCATATGATCCCCTGAGCACTGACAGGAGTAATTCCTGAATGCATGAGCCAGGAGTAACCCCTGTGCAACGCCGGGGTGACCCAAAAAGCCAATAAATAAATAAATAAATAAATAAAAAAAATATTACCTATGTAGTTCGAGTTTTCAGCTAGGAAGAATTTTTCTCCTTTATTTACTTTACATTTACACTTTTGTATTTTTCTCTGAGTTCACTGTCATAAAAAAAAAAGAGGGAAAAAAGGAGGAGAAACAAACCAAGACAAAACAAAAATGCCTGGCCAGACGGCTGTCTCAGGTAGAAAGAAATTAAATGGAAAAACAGATGTGCAAAGCATGCAGGCTTGACAACGCCAAATGCTGAGTATGCAGCTATGAACTGGGCCACCAGCCTGCCCCCAGCTGTTAGGCTGTGCTGGAATGCGCTGCTCTAAGCTTCTCCAGCTCTACCTGCTGTTTCTCTCAGGGTACAGAGCTTATGTACAGCCCAGTGGACCACAATTTCTGATGCCCAAACTAGCTCTTCCTGGTCAGGTTCCTGGGGAATGTCTCACATATCTGGATTTGTCTTCAACGAGACAGGCCAGAACCTATCAAGGACAGCCCTGTCATTGAAAGGAGGGGCTTGGCTTTGCTGAAAACTACAAGAACCTGCAGGAGGGCTGGAGCGATAGTACAGCGGGAAGGGCGTTTGCTTTGCACGCGGCTGACCTGGGTTCGATTCCCAGCATCCCAGATGGTTCCCCCGAGCATCTCCAGGAGTAATTCCTGAGTGCAGAGCCAGGAGTAACCCCTGAGCATTGCCGGGTGTGACCCAAACAAGCAAAAAATAAAGAAATAAAATAAAGAACCTGCAAGACTGGAGACAAGTTTAGAGCCTGCAGTGGAGAGGGGGAGCTGTATATCAGAGGTTGGGGTGCTTGCTGTCTGGCTGCTCTGCTGCCTCTCAGTCATGGCCTGTGCCTACTTACGTCACCCAGAAAGCTGGCAGAGAGCTGCTGCCACAAAAAAGTACCAGCTTCTGAGGACGAGCTATAGGTCTGGGCATCAGCGTGACACCTGGAGGAAATTCAGCCTGCAATGGCGGAGTTGGAGGGAGATGGGGGCAGGCAAGGGGTGACTGACTAACCAACCAGCCTCTCACTGAAACAAGGACACCCGGTGCCTGTTAGTGTCCCCACTCCCACCCTCCCGCCTCACAGCTCTCCCAAGACCTCTCAGTTCCCCAATTGGGACAAGTCCTTGTACACCCCCGGGGTTCGGCTTATTCTGTTCTCTCTGGCAGTCTGCTTGCCTGCTTCCCTTACTGGGAGGTTCTACATCCAGGGTGAAACTGGAGGCCGCTCCCCCACTGTGTCTGCTTAGAAGAGCCCCTTTGCTTGGCTAACCAAATGGCTTTAAAATAAAAATACTCTATGTGAAAAATCTAGCTGCTTTGGATAGATTTTTTGTGTGTGTGTGTGTGGGCGGGGCACACTTGGGGTTTACTCCTGGCTCTCTGCTTAGGGATCATTCCTGGTAGACCGCATGTGGTGTGTGGGGATGCAAACTTGGCAAGCACCTTACCCGTCCCCCACCCAACCATATTTTAGGTCCCCCACTGGCTCTACAGGCTGGAAGATGTGAGCGGGTGGGGCTCCCGCTGGCAGACAGCAGTGAGCTAAAACTGGGCCGTATTGAGCATCAGAGGAGAGGGATATGGAAGTTTCTTTTTAAGACCTTTGCCTCTGTCATATTTTGGCTTGACACCCCTGTGGCACAGGCTGCATTTTCTAAGTCTCTGTTTTTGTTCTAATTCCACAGTCATCATAATTAGTTGCATGTTCTTTCCTATTGAACTAGAGATATGCCCTGCGCTCACCATTGCTGGTTCGTAGTAAGTGAATGCCCGGAAGATAAATAAAGGAGATTTTGGCAGGGAGGGACATGTTGGAGCATCCCTCAGATAATCAGCTGCTCCTCTTCCCTGTGAGATTGGTGGGCAGACATAGGGCTGGAGGAACGCCGGGAGACAGGGCCCAACAACACTGAAGTAGCGGGGACCCATGGGGGCTCCTTTGGGTGGGAGAGAGGAAGAGGAACTCACCTTTCAGTGGGTACCAAGAGTACCCATTTATGATTCCATTTGGAGATTTAATTTGATTTTTGCACGAATCTTCATTCTTCATGCTGGGATTATTTGAAGCATATGTATAGGCAAGATATTGAAACACATCATCATCTGGGGTTAAGCTTCGAAAGTGTGATGTCCCAGTTTCTGTATGTAAAAGATAAATTTTTACTTAAGGGTAAGAGGTAACACACACCACCAAATTAGCAAGCATAGGCTGCATCAGACTCAAAGGGAAACGTCTAGGTTTCTCAAATTTTTTCTCACTGTGGCCTTCTTTTTCTTTTTCCCACAAAGCTTTTTTCCTTGGCCCCATTCTATTGATTAGCCCTTAAGTCTTGTTCTGTGACCCCCCCTATATATGTGATTTTTACCTGTGATCCCCTTGAACTATCCTGGGGACCCCAGGGGACCGAGAACACTGCTCTACCTGTTTCCCTCTACACTTTTTCCTAGTTTTTATTTTTTACTTTGGGGGACCAAACCCAGTGGTGCTCAGGGGTTACCCCTGGTTCTGTGCTCAGGAGTAGTTCCTGGTGGTGCTTGGGGGAACCATATGTGGTGACAGGAACTGAACCTGGTCAGCTGTGTGCAAGGCAAATGCCTTAATCCTTGTGCTATCTCTCCATCCCTCCTAGTTTTTAATGAATATTCACACGTTGATACCATATAAAATAAACCATTTCATTTCATGCAAAACTTTTCATATTAAAATATCTGACTTGGGGTGACTTAAATTTGGTGACTGAAAACAGTGATTAGGTATATACTGAATATGCTACATATTTGATATATCATTAATATATGTCTCCTGATATATATATATATATATATTTTTTTTTTATTCGGGGGTTGCTTTTTGGGTCGCAACTGGCAATGCTCAGGGGTTACTCCTGACTGGCTCTACACTCAAGAATTATTCCTAGCGGTGCTTGGGGGACCACATGAGATGCCAGGGATGGAACTCGGGTCGACCACTTGCAAGGCAAATGCCCTGTCTGCTGTACTATTGCTCTGTACCCCATCTCCTGATATATATATATATATACACATATATACACATATATGTGTGTGTATATATATATATATACATATCTATATATATATATATACACTCACACATAGAAGTCAGAAAACTTTTCTTAGATACATGAGATGAAATGAAATTGCAATATTTTAACTTCTTGACAATGCATCTCATTCTACAGTTTCAAGAGGAATAACAGTTCTTACTTGTAAAATTATCAAAGAGGTAAATTGTTGTATTTTTTTTTCCTGGCTATGCTTAGGGCTTACTCTGGCTCTGCATCAGGGATCACTCTTGGTGGATCTCCTGGGACCCTGTGTGGATCAAACCCATGTTGGATGCGTACAAAGCAAGTATCTTAGCTCCTGTGCTGTCTATCTGTGCTATAACTGAACTTTGCAGCTGGTCCAGGGGAAGTGGTGGTGGTGGTAGGGCAGGAGCAGAGGGGAGGAGAAGAATTTATCCCCACCCAGAGGTAGAGTGGCAGTTCCATTCCAGACTTGGCCAGAGCTGGGCTCAAATTTGCTTACCTGGAACCCCATTGTCGAATGGGTAACTGGCCACCTGGGCGCCACCATGGAGGTTTGCAGAGAGGACAAATGTCTCTGTTTTCAGCCACTCCTGGATCGCTGCAGTTTCAGGCTGAGTTGTTACATTATTAAACTCAAAAGCATCTGGGAAGTTTCTATTCAGGTCATAGTTGTTACTGTTCTCCCTTTAAAAGAAAGTTCTTATGGTTTCCGGATGGTCTGGGAGCCTGTGGACACTTCTCTCTGGACTCATGCCTTTCTAAGGATAAGGACAGGGGGAGGGTGGGGCCATGTGACAACCTCCCTAGGTTCCCACCTGGGGTACACGTGCTATGAAGTCCCCTCTGGAGTGGCCTGTTCTGCTCAATGGACCGGCTGATTTTGTGATGGGTTTGTATTTCAGGCCTTTGACTCTGGGCATCTTCCTACATTTTGGGACCTGAGAGCCCAAGGAGGGTCCACAGGGAGCAGTGAGGGTTTGGGTAGGGGGTGGGTGAGGATAAGGGAGTGACAGCCAGAATGGAGAACTCTGACCTGCTGCTCTCTGACAGTAAGCCTTATCCCAGAGGCCCCCTATGGCACACAGATTGGCCATCACTGCTCAGCCTGGTCCAGACCCCCGACTTAAGGATCTGAGAGCAAATCAAAAGGTTCTATGGAATCTAAATTTTGCAGGTGTTTGCTGCACAGCTATGGATAACACAAACCACAGAAATATCTCCTTAATGCCAGAGTATTTCTGGAAAGTAGACTGGGCATGTTTAAATACCCTAGAAAAACTCAAAGTTGTAGGCAATCAAGTCGTAACACTTTCTTGATTTGGGTTAGAAGTGAATACACAAAAACTATGCAACAGATATTGAAGAAATTCCAAACTTCCAGAGGTAGCTGGAGACAAAAGGCTGTTTAAATAATAATAATAATAATAATGACAATAATAATAATAAGTATACAAGATTAATTCTTTGTGGTTGCTCTTGGAGTTTTTGGGTTAGTTTTACTTTTGAGTCACTCTGGTGATTAGGGGCTACTCTTAGTCCACTGCTCTGGGTCACTCCTGGTCATACAGTGCAGAGGATCAAGCCTCCAGTGTGCAATACATGGATGAGCTCAGTGCAGGGAGCAATCCTTCAGCCCCCAAGATTAGTTCTTGCTGTACAGGAACCAGTAATCATGGAGGGCCAAGGCCCTGGGGGTTCAACCACCAACACAATGACAGGGTTCCTGCCCTCTGGGACTTGAGCTGGTTTGGGGAGAGAGACACTACACAAGAAATTAGACCCAAAAGACTGTGCCAGGAAAGCTATGAGGGAGTATAATCAGGGGCCACAAGTGGTGGGAAGTTGGGAACCGGGAGTCAAGATGAACAAGAAAGAAGTTTCTAGAAGATGGGGCTGGGAGCAGGGTGTGTGTGTGCGTGGGGGTGGGGGGAATAGGATGGAGCACTCATGAGGACATTTCATAAGAGCTTTTTTTCTGGTTTTTAAATTTTTTTATTTTTTCATTTTTTTGCTTTCTTCTGTTTGTCCTCAGGGCTTACTCCTGGTTCTGTGTTCAAGGATCTCTCCTGGCAGTGCTCAGGATTCATCCTGCTGGTGCTCAGAGATCACTCCTGGCAGAGCTCCTACAGGGCCAGGAGTCCTAGCTGATAGGGGCCTTTGTTTACTTTGTTTCAGTCTTACTTTTTTAAATTATTATTCAATTTTAATTTATTCTTCCCTTCCCTTTGTGGTGGTGGTTGTGTAGCATTGATCACACACTTCAGTTATGGGACTTGCACACACTTGGTTGTGTTGTGGTGCTGGGACCCTACATAGCAGTGCCACCAGGGCATCACTCAACATGTGGGATTGGGACTCAGCCTGCAGTGGGCCCTTGTTCTCTGTTTGTAATGGGAGGGGGGCTTGTTCTGTGTTTGTAATAGAGATAGAGGGGCCATTCTTACCGTCCATCGCTGTAGTAACAATCGGGTATTCTGACAGCTTCGAATCCATCTGGATTCATTGAAGGCAAGATGTGTATCCGGGTACTATTGATTAACTGTGTGATTTCAGGGTCCTTTCCATCATTGGTTACAAGATACTCAATTAAATGGAGCAACAGTTCTCTCCCTACAGTCTGAATATATTAAAGAGAAAAAGGAAGATGATTTAGAGACCTTTACGGATGGTCAGAGGAAAACAAAGAAAACAGCTTCCCAAGCACACATTCCTGGATCAGGAGTTCTACTATGGTATCTGCGAGCCCTGGTTCTCAAGCAAACAGACACCCTGACAAGTGACAATCATTGGCTACACTAAGAGTTATTTATTAATAAAAATATTTATTTTTAAATTTTTATTATTAAAAATTTTTAATCACATTGATATACACAGTTACAAATTTGTTCATAATTTGGTTTCATGTTCTAATATCCTTCCTTTCACCACCTCCAATGTCCCCAGTTTCCACCTCCCCACCTGTCTCTATGGCAGGATCTCTCTCTTTCTCTCTCTCTCCTCTCTCTCCTCTCTCTCTCTCTCTCTCTCTCTCTCTCTCTCTCTCTTCCCCACCTTTCATTTTGGCCATTATGGTTTACAATACAGATACTGAAAGGTTATCATGTATATCCCTTTACCTACTTTCAACACTTGCCACTCCTGTCCAGAGCAATCATTTCTGTTATTATCATACTGCTCCTTTAAAGTGATATTGCTTGCCTTGCATGCAGCTGACCCCTGTTTGATCCCTGGCACCACATTTGAGCCCTCAAGCATGGTCAGGGGTCACCCCTGAGCACTTCCAGATGTGATCCAGCCCACTACCCTCTCCCTTCCCAAAGTACCCATCTATAAAAGATTTACTTTTGAGAGACACAGCAGTGATTCTCAGAAGACATCACAGTGCCAGAGACCTCTCCAGGCCCCACACCGAGCCAGTTTCACTGGGATACCCCAGATGGAGCAGGTGTACTCTCCTTGCCCACTCCAGATGAAATCCTGGTGACCAAGAGCTTCCATAAGCAAGGTGTGCTCCAGGACTAAGTCTCCAGGCTGCAGAGAGGCAGAGGAGTCGGGCTGTCCCTCCCTGGTTTCCTGCCCGCTCGGCACAGTGGCTTTCACACCCATAATCTGCCGCTGGGTGCCATCTTAGCGCACCAACAGCCTTGGTCTAGAGACTCCCAATTGAATCCCAAAATGGATTAGTGCCCTACAGAGATGTCTCTGGAACCCAACCATTTACAATCTTAGAATTCCAGAAGCATGCGGCTGCTTCTGCGGCCACGCAATCTCTCATGCTATTCAAAATGAGCAATGGAAAAAAAAATTATCTAGCATCTGCCCCAGGAAGGCAGGCATGAATGGTGACGGGAAAATATAATGCCCAGAAGCAGAGAGAGAGTACTGGGAAAATTGTTTGCCATAGAGGCAGGGTGAGGACTGGGATGGGGAAGGGAGATATGGGGACATTGGTGGTGGAAAGTGTGCACTGGTGGAAGGATGGGTGTTCGATCACTGTATGGCTAAATCTCAAACATAAAAGCTTTGTAACTGTATCTCACAGTGATTCAATTAAAAAAATTACTTTTGAAAAAAGGAAGGAGAGTAGGGTCAAGTTTCCTTGCCCTCCCAGACAAGTCTCTAGTGGAAGAGGAGGGAAAGAGCAGGCTTGGGTTTTGCTGTGTGTTGGAAACATTTTATATAGTACAGTGGGTGACACACCAAGACCACTGGGTTAGATGTGTATACATGTATACATGTTTCTTTTGGGCCACAAATGCTAGTGCTCAGGGCTTACTCTTGGTTCTGTGATCAGGAATCACTCCTGGTGGTGCTCAGGGGACCATATGTGGGGCTGGGGACCGAGCTGGTGTTGGCTGCATGCCTTGACCTTAAGGTAAGTGCCTCAACTCTGTACTAACTCCCATCCAACATGTGTAATTGTTAATAAAGAAAAAAATCCAAATTTTTAGTATGCAGGACTTAAGTTTCTGATTTCCTTATCCCTTTACTTCAAAATTCTATTTTCAAATTCTCCATGGTGCCATTTGCTTGTTTTTATGATCTCCCTATTTTTGTGCTCTGAAATCTGTCATTTGTACATCATCCGCACAATTGTTTTGCCCTAGCTGCACATTCATACATAATATTGTTGTTTATGTTTTAAGTTAGCTCACTTCTGACTTACAGAAAACACAAAAAGCAATGCCATTATCTATTTGCTGGGTGTATGTTTCCAATGTACATAACATAAATAAAAAACATGACTGTGAAAAGAAAAACATTCATTGCCACATAAAGTGTTCTTTTGACCAATGATCAGGAAACCCAGAGCCTATGAGAGATCTTGACAAGGGAGAGATTTACAGTTTCGGGAATTCACATTTCAGCATTATTATAGAAAGTTTGTTTAGCTTATTATCAGTTTCCTTTCTTTGCTGTTGGTGCTAAACTAGGACATTAGGATGAACCTCTGGATACTGCCCTGCAAGCAGGAAGAGCAGAGTTCCCACTTTCACATTAAGTGGGCAAACTAAAACTTGTGAGCCCAATGATCTGGAGAAGTACAGCATGCTCTCATATACCCGCCAAATCATACATTATCTTGGCAGTACAAGGCAGCGGTTTCCCCCTCTTACATATACTTAATCTGGATTGACCTTCAAGTATCAGTATGAGCCTTCTCTTTGCCCTATGTGTAACCAGCCACAAGAATGCGGGGGACGTAATCTGTAGTGCCTACGTGTCCAGCTCCATATCGTCCTCTGATGCTTTAATAACAATACAGCTTTGACAAGATAATGTATACCCTGATGTTCTTTTGATGAATGCTTATCCTATAACTGTTTGTACGCTCACTAGTGAGTCTTTCTCTGTGATGAAGTCATTAGGATGGAACTGATGAAAAATAGAATAAAAGGAGGCCTCTGGCAGTTGCTCTTCACCTCGAGCCAGATCGATGCCTTGGCCCTCGGTGCTCTCTACATTCCTCTCACACGTCTTGTCTCTGTGCCTCTGACCGAAAGAATATTCAAGCAACACTTTTCTGTTTTCCCTTTTGGTTTTGAGCCACACCTGGCAGTGCTCAGGGATCACGGGACCATATGCAGTGCTAGGGATCAAACCAGGGTCAGCAACAAGCAAGGCAAGAGTCTCTCCAGCTCCTGAGAAACTCACTATCAGGTTGTCCCCCAAATCTTTTTCATCCTGCTTCCCTTTCATTTATGTTATTCAATGACAGTCATGCACTTGGTTGTGCTCGTGGAGAGAGGTGCTATTGGCTGAGATGCCGGCAAAGGTATTTTTGTATTGGTGCCCTTGGGGTGGCCCATAGTTGTGCTGCTGGAGAACGGGAACAGCACGGCTGCAGAGGCTGCACTTGACACCAGTGGGTGGCACTGGAGGCAACTGCTTCTGCTGGGAGCCACCCCAAGGTTCCCTCTCCCTATAATCTTGGGTTCAAGGAATATACTTTAAGGGTCTTTTACCCCTTAGATAAGACCCGAAGCTGTCGAGGGTGCAGAATTTGCTTCTGGCATTGGGGTAACAGGCGATAAATAAGGACAGAGTTGCACAGGCTTTGGCATTGGCAGTGGGAAGAAAAAGTCCTCAACAACAGCACCACAGTGGAATCCAGACCTGTGACAAAAGGACAGAACAAGCCTAGAATCCAGACTTGATGGCCCTTGTGGGCAGGTGAATTTTGTGAGTGTGCTATCTGAATGAACAGAGTGATTTGAAATCGGGACTCAGAAATTTTGGAATGCATGAATATATATATGAATATAATATATGAATATAATGTGTTAATATATATATATTCAGCTAGAGTGATAGCACAGTTGTAGGGTGTTTGCCTTGCGCACAGCAGGCCTGGCCGAGCCAGGTTTGATTCCTCCGCCCCTCTCGGAGAGCACGACAAGCTACTGAGAGTATTTCGCCCACACAGCAGAACCTGGCAAACTACCCATGACATATTCAATATGCCAAACACAGTAACAACAAGTCTCACGATGGAGATGTTACTGGGTCCGCTTGAGCAAATCGATGAACAACCAGAGGACAGAGCTATAGTGCTACAGTGCTTGAATATATATATATTCATATATATATATTCATATATATATTTTACAGCTTGCCAGGCTCTCCAAGAGGGATGGAGAAATTGAACCCAGGTCGGCCGCATGCAAGGCAAACGCCCTACCTGCTGTGCTATCGCTCCAGACCAAGAAGATCCTAAAGTAAGATAATTGTAGGCAAACAAAACTGTCCATAACATGGGAAAATGGAAACAAATGAGATGAATGTGGCTGCTGCAGAGATATATATATATATATATATACATATATTCAAAGGGAGATGTAAAATTTTATTCTGATTTGTGTTTCTCTTCTTCCACTCCATTTCCTTCTGTCTCTCTTCTTCCACTCCAATTCTGTTTTTACAGTAAACAATGTCAGTTGAAAACTCCTTTTAAAAGTAGTAGTTAAAAATGTTCAGAAAGTTGCATACTGGCTTCCCAACAGTGTTTTGGAGGCAACCTCGGGAAAATTTACTGGTTTCCTGCAAACCAGGTGGCTTCCATTTGTGAAAGATGACATTAAGTGCAACAAGTGTGGCTGGTTTAAGGTGAATTCTGGCAAGAGGGTTTTCAAAAGATAAAATAGTGAGGGAAGAAAATTGTGATTAGGGTTGACTTGTCTCTTGGGCTGGAGAGTGTAGGATATCCACTGGGAGGACGAGATCAGGAAAGGCCAGAGGGCACAGGAGCTCACCCGAGTCCCCAGTCAGATACTGAGCGGAATCATGATCAGAATTCCCCTGTGGGTTTAATGTGAATTTTCATCTTCACTCTCTGAACCGCACATTCTCAAGCATGTCAGAACCTAAGACATGAGTTGGTAATGGAATTCATCTAACACAAAGCAAACTAAAACCAAAGGTAAAGAGCCATTATTAAGTGTAGAGGTAGATTAAGCAAACAGGAAGTGCAAGTACAGAACAGAATGTAGGTTAAGGTGACAATGCATAGAAAGGTAAGAAGGGGAATTTTCAAAGTGTTTATTTCTTTACTTTTCACAGAAAAGGGTAATATAATTCTGTAAAATGTTGCCGGAGCGATAGCACAGCAATAGGGCG